TAAGATGCTCTAGAAAGGAAATGCAAGGAGACTGAAGATGATGACAGAAGGCCTAATTATAGGGAAGTGTACAGAAGGATAAACAAATGAACCAGAAAAAAAACGGGTTGGACTATTAAAAGCAAAGACAATAGCTTCCTGTTTGAGGTAGAAGAAATAAAAAAGACAAGGTAAAGTATGTAGAAGAACTATATACTGATAAGGATATTGTAGAGGCAAGAAACGAAATGGAAATAAAGATCTATATGCCAATTTTGGAAACAAAAAGTTGAGGCAAGTGTGAGCAAAAAGAAAAATTAAAAAACTTGTGGGGTCGGCCATCTTCCAGCAGAATTTATAAAACAAATGGTCAAGAATGGGATGAAATACTTGTTTGACTAAAATACGGTTCTATATACTTCAAAGGAGACCTTCCCAGTGATTTAAAAAAATAAATATATGTAATATTACCTAAAAGTCCAGGAGCCGTAGAGTGCACCCAGTTTAGACATAACGCTTAATAAGTCATGCCTGCAAAGTTTTGTTTAACATAATTTTAAGTAGAACAAATTTTTAAATAGAAAGTGAGTTATATGAAGAGCAAAATGGATTTAGAGAATTTTGAGTAAATGGGCTTTAGAGGTCGGAAGAAATTTGTATATCTGCTTGAAAAAAATATACATTAAAGAAGGAGATATTAGAATTTTATGGCAACAGGAAGCTGCAATGTTAGTGAATAATGAACTTACTAATTGGTTCACAGTTAGAAAGGGAGTAAAACACGGCTGTGTTCTATCTGCAACATTTTATGATATATTATATTCAGAATTCTTAATGAGAAGTTAAAAGTGATAAGGAAGGAAAAGTTCACGTTAAATTAATATAAAATACACGCAATGCAGATGATACTGCTCTTATCACATATATACGCGGACTTCAATATACAAACAATACCTCGCTAGATTAATACACACACACACACACATATATATATATATATATATATATATATATATATATATATATATATATATATATATATATATATATATATATATATATATATATATATATATATATATATATTATTTCATGTATATCACACACACCCCTTACAAAATGTAATAATTACAGCGACAACCAAAAAATTAGTTATATACCAGAGCTTTAGCTAGAGTGTTATGTGTTGGAGAGTTTTGGTGACAAAGCACACCTGCTGCGGTGTGTTGTGGTCATGCCATCAGGCTGAGTAATCGATGGCACTCCTGTTGCAAGTCAGTATGTGACAGGTCACATTGGGATGTCAATAGAATTGTGTTGCAGGATATTACTGGGTGCAGTAGGCGATATGGTATGCTTGTTGACATGTACAGTAGTGGTATAGGGTATTGTTGTTGCTGTGTTGTGGTATAGGGTATGGTTATTGCTGAGTTGTGGTGTAGGATACGGTTGTGGCTGTGTTGTGGTGTAGGGTATGGTTGTTGCTGTGTTATGGTGTAGTGTACGATTATGGCTGTGTTGTGGTGTAGGATACGGTTGTTGCTGTGTTGTGGTGTAGTGTATGGTTGTTCCTGTGTTGTGGTGTAGTGTATGGTTGTTCCTGTGTTGTGGTATAGGGTACGTTGTGGCTGTGTTGTGGTGTAGGTATGGTTGTGTGTTTTGGTGTTGTTGTTCCTGTGTTGTGTATAGGGTACGGTTGTGGCTGTGTTGTGGTGTAGGGTATGGTTGTCTGTGTTGTGGTTGGGTTGTGGTGTGTTTGGTTGTATGTTGTTCCTGTGTTGTGTATAGGGTATGGTTGTTGTTTGTGGTGTAGGTATGGTTTTTTGTTGTTGTAGTATACGGTTGTTGCTGTGTTGTTGTAGTGAATGGTTGTTCTGTGTTGGAAGGGTTGTGTGTGTTTGGTGTGGGTATGGTTTCTATGTTGTGGTGTAGTATACGGTTGTTGCTGTGTTGTGGTGTAGTGAATGGTTGTTCTTGTTGTGGTATAGGTTGTGGTGTGTTGTGGTGTGGTATGTTGTTCCTGTGTTGTGGTATAGGGTCGTTTGTGGCTGTGTTGTGGTGTAGGGTATGGTTGTTGCTGTGTTGTGGTGTAGTGTACGATTATGGCTGTGTTGTGGTGTAGGATACGGTTGTTGCTGTGTTGTGGTGTAGTGTATGGTTGTTCCTATGTTGTGGTATAGGGAATGTTGTGGCTGTGTTGTGGTGTAGGGTTTGGTTGTTGCTGTGTAGTGAATGGTTGTTGCTGTGTTGTGATGTAGGGTACGGTTGTTGCTGTGTTAAATAATATTAATAATACAAATTAAGGGCTTATTGAAAGAGCATGGCAGCCGGGAGATTGAAAATATACAGCAACATAATTGGGGAATGAACTACTTGATTGACAAGTAATACACAAGTAACATATAATAACTGAATGGTGAGAAGTTTATACTACAGGGCATATCAACGTAGTGACTGCAAAAGGCAAGATTGATTGGGAGTGAATAAACTGATTGATTACGAGTTGTTGATAATTTTCACAATGGTTGGGACTGGGCTGTTCTTATAGGGATCAGTACGTCAGCAATTCGCAGACGAGGGCTCTCGGATGGAAGTAGGGGCGGTTTCGAGGATGGTGTAGAAGCTTTCTCACAAATTTGCAGATGAGGTCGTGGTGATGGTCGAAGAGAATCGAGAGGGTCAGTGTGTTGAGCGCTTCTCGATATGTGGAGTAGGAAGAGGGGAGAATAATCTTGCATGCCCTCTTTTGCACTGTTTCTCGGTGTCTACGTTGTGTGGCATTTACTGTGAGGGAAGACCAGGCAGGTTAGTCATAGGTGAGCTTGGGAAGTATGAATGTTGAGTAAACACTGAGGAGCTCAGGCGAAGGAACTCTGAGGGACTTGAGTCGGCGGAGAAGGTGGAGACGAAAACTGGGGATTTGACAACTTTATTGACGTGTGTTTTCCAATTTAGTTTGTTATCTATAGTGACGCCGAGGAGCTTAGTGGAGTCCACAACCTGGAATGTGTTGGAGCCAAAGTAATGGAAGGAGGTGGTTCAACGTCAGCGGAGAGGTTGATGTGCATAACCATAGTCTTGGCATGGTTGATGGTGACGTGGTTGGGGTGGCCCAATTTTGGAGAGTGTTCAATAGCTCCTGGAGGGCAGTGTAGTCGGGAGCCGAGTTGATGACACTGATCCTAATGGTGGAGTCGTCGACATATTTCCAGCGAGGAGAGGTTTCTTAGGGCCTCATTGATAAGTATGAGGAAGCAGAGCGGTCCCATCTTGGTGCCTTGGGGGACGCCACAGGTGAGTGACTGAAAAGTGGAGACATCCCCTCGGAAGCGTACGACTTGGCGTCGGTAACTAAGGAAGTCTGTATGCCATGGCTTAAGACTTCTTCGAAACCCTAGGTCGATACCTTCGTTTATGATTAAATTGTGGTCGACTAGGTCAAATACGTTGGTGAAGTCATGGAAGGCGACAGCCACAGACGTCTTTCGTTTTTCCAGTGGAAAGGGGCTGGTAGGTAAGTAGGGAGACTGGTTGTGTCAAGCCGGGGGAGCGTCTGGCATATAGTTGCGAAATGGTTGTTTGATTGCTCAGCTGTGTCACCATTAGTGAGATGGCTAAGGAAGGGGAGTGGGTGTTTATTTTTGTATAATCCACAGAGTTCCTTAAACTTACTATGCCACTGACTGATGTTGGTTTGCTTCAGGTGTTGCAACTTGGTTGGGTAGCGGGACTTCTTTGCAGTGCTTATTTCACGGATGACTTGGTTGAGAAGGTGGATGTAGCGGTTGTGGTCATTGAGATAAAAGACGCTGTCTCTGTTGCATAAGTCTTTTGATCCAAGGTGTGATCCAAGGCAAGTTAGCTGGGTATGATCTGACGGACTTCTCGGGGAAGAAGTGGTGGTGAGCTTCCATGGTGGTGGTGGTGTTGATATAATTTATCCATTTGGTGTCCATGTCATCCACGCTAAGTACTTCAGTCCAGGGAAGGTGAACTATCCACTGGCCGAAGAGACGCACTGCTGTGTATGGTCGTTGCTGTGTTGTGGTGTAGAGGTATGGTTGTTGCTGTGTTGTGGTGTAGGATATGGTTGTTGCTGTGTTGTGGTGTAGAATATAGTTGTTGCTGTGTTGTGGTGTAGAGTATGTCTGGATGTTTTGTGGTGTAGGATACGGTTGTTGCTGTGTTGTGGTGTAGGATATGATTGTTGGTGTGTTGTGGTGTAGGATACGGTTGTTGCTGTGTTGTGGTGTAGTGTATGATTGTTGCTGTGTTGTGGTGTTTTGTATGATTGTTGCTAAGTTGTGGTGTAGAGTATGGTTGTTGCTGTATTGTGGTGTAGGATACGGTTGTTGCTGTGTTGTGGTGTAGGATACGGTTGTTGCTGTGTTGTGGTGTAGTGTATGATTGTTGCTGTGTTGTGGTGTTTTGTATGATTGTTGCTAGGTGTAGGAGTATGGTTGTTGCTGTATTGTGGTGTAGGATACGGTTGTTGCTGTGTTGTGGTGTAGGATACGGTTGTTGCTGTGTTGTGGTCTAGGGTATGGTTGTGGCTGTGTTGTGGTGTAGAGTATGGTTGTTGCTGTGTTGTGGTAATAAAAGTACACAACATGATCAAAATACTTTATTTCACAGCGGTGTGTGTAGAAGGAGAGGACATTAGTGTTGTAGAGGAAATTTAGTGGTACAGTGTGGAAATACCGTCAGCCTAAGTGGTTTGTAAACTCTTGCCTCTCAGTAAAATGGATGAGAGGAAGTGCTTGTTATTTGTTGTGATACAGGAGCAAATTCAAGTATAAAGTGCAATTGCGGTAAAATATTTCTGGCATAGATATTATAATTTCCAGATGGTACAGATTTAGGTATAAAGAACAGGGCAGTAACTTTTTGTTGTGCATATTTAGGTATATGTAATACAGATGCAGTAGTGTCTATTTATCTAAGTTGTAAAGTTCAGGGTTTAATACACATGTTGTGGTGTGTTGATTACTGTTGCCTTAGTTAGACTCTTATGTTTACAGAGTGTTGGAAAACATGGGTGAGCTTCACACCATCGAGGTCGGCTCCTTCAAGGGTCTTCACCAGCTCAGGTCTATGTGAGTACCTCCATGTGAACTGGTTAATGTTGTAGATGTATCTAAAGCCCCCCCCCCTTTTTTTTAATATGATATTATAATATAGTTTGCTCTTTAATTCATGAGAAATAATGTATAAAATTTCAAAGCTTTATTCCGTTTAATGCACATTGGATGGAACTGAAGCACAATTATTCTCCTTTTTTTTGTTATCATTCATTCAGTCTTACTGATGCAATATATGTATTCTACAATGTTACTTCCCTTCTACAACAAGATACCAACAATGCGTAAAGTTGTTATCTGGTAGCATTAGGTTGGTAGTTTAACCCACATGTGGTAGAGACGTTCGTATATCTTATTCAACTTTGCCAATATCACACGAAATGAATGTCGTAAGGCTTGTGCGTTATACTGGTCGTGAGTAAAATTAGTCAAAGTTGGACGTGAGTAAAATTAATTTAAACTGGACGTAAATAGATTGATTAAAATAGGATATACCAGGACCCAGAAAGTTCCGTAACACTTAGTAACACTAGTCTTATCTGTCCCTCCTGCCAGATACATCCACTTAGCTCCACAGCTAAAGACGATGCCAAACCTCACCTTCGCGGAAGACAACAAGAACCTAAAGAGCCTGTGAGTTGTAGTATTTTTGTTGTCGTTGTTGAGTTCGGTATTGATGTTTATGTTGTTATACTGTTGTTGTTTTACGTTTCTCTGCGTTTATGTTATATATATATATATATATATATATATATATATATATATATATATATATATATATATATATATATATATATATATGCAAGTAAATCACTGTAGGTGTGTGATATAGGTATAGCTGATAACCACAAGGAAAGAAAAAACAAAGTTCCCAAGCTTTCGGGTACTTACCCTGAAGATGTGAATTACACGAAAGCGCTTGGGAACTTTGTTTTTCTTTTCTTTCCTTGTGGTTATCAGCATATATATATATATATATATATATATATATATATATATATATATATATATATATATATATATATATATATATATATATCTATATATATATATATATCTATATATATCTATATATATATATATATATATATATATATATATATATATATATATATATATATATATATATATATATATATATATATATGTAAATCACTGTAGGTTCGCGTGATCCAAGTATATGCTGATAACCACAAGGAAACAAGAAAACACGAAGTTCCCAAGCGCTTTTGTATTCATCTAGATCAAGTCCTCTGGGAAAATCAATGTTCTGGTCATGAGCAGTGACCCAACCCTTACTAATGTTTTTTATTAAACAAATATTGACCATGCCATCTCTACATAGCAGCCAGTAGTCAGGTCATAGTAAATTTTTTTATTTAGAAAATTAGTAGGGGTTGGGTCACTGCCTTATGACCAGAACATTGGGGACACCTGCTTTTCCTCGAGGGACTTGATCTCACCTCCTATGTATATATTAGTTTTCAAGCATTACCCTTAGTCTGTAATATCTCTCGAAGTATATATATATACATACATATATATATATATATATATATATATATATATATATATATATATATATATATATATATATATATATATATATATATTTCATTAGTCCAAATAGGACACGGATTTCAACATATAATCAATAAGCTCACCAGCCAGACTCGAACCTCGACCCTACTCAGACCACATAAGTGGCATGGGCAATCACCAATTGAGGTTCACTGCGCCATAATCATGATGAACAAGCTTCCTGTGAAATATAACAAAGTCTCGGATTGCTTTTGGTGTCCTTGTGGCGTGGTTGGTAGCACTCCTGGTCACAGTGTTTTAGGTTGAGGTTCGAGTCCTGGCTGGTGAGTTTGTTGAATATATATATATATATATATATATATATATATATATACATTTATATATATATATATATATATATATAATATATATATATAATATATATATATATATATATATATATATATATATATATATATATATATATATATATATATATATATATACAGGGTGATTCAACAAAGAGTACATTAAAGGATGAAATCCTTGGATAATTCTAAACCACAATGTCTCTTTGGGTAAATGTCAGGTTCTGCATAGTTTCCTTGTTACAATACATATAATATGTTGTATTAATGAGAGTGAATTTGAAGTGAAACTCCTCCTGTAACTGCCTTTATGTCATTCGGTTGTACACGGTCCCTGTCTCATTGCACCTGTGTCAGCTTATCTGTATCATGCTGTACATAAGACATCTGTGAATAAATTATTGCAAAAACCTACAGGGATATCAAAACAAATTAACTCTCATGAATACAAAATCTTAAATGTATTGTAACATGGAAACTATACAGAATCTGACATTTTACCATAGAGACATTGTGGTTTAGAATTATCCAGGGATTATATCCTCAAATTGAATGTACTCTTTGCTGAATCACCCTGTATTACAGTAAGCAAAACAACTATCTGCGCAGGTGAGGGTCGATATGTCGAAATTTTATGTGTGACTGGTGACAGCCCTTATATACTAATGTTTATGGTCTTATATTGTTTCCCACAGAGTATGCACAGATAGTTGTTTTAGCTACTTTACATGTATATATATATATATATATATATATATATATATATATATATATATATATATATATATATATATATTATGCTGATAACCACAAGGAAAGAAGAAAACACGAAGTTCCCAAGCGCTTTCCTGTAATTCACATCTTCAGGGGTGAGTACAGACTAAAGAGAAATACAAACCAAGGTGTATATTAGATTTTCACTGCCCCTAGTGTATATATACAGAGGAGGGTGAGACCAGGTCCACAATGGTCAGGTATTAGGTAATGACCTTACTAATCTTTAAATAGCACACAACGGTTGGTGGTCAGGCGACCCGACCTTCTCATCTGGTTACAAATCTTCTTAATTACAAAATTGTCCAGCTTGTACATGCCGTTACTCAAATTCATTAGCTCAGTTGGGTCAATCCCTTATAAACTATCTAAATGGTTAGTTTCTTTACTAAATCCCCTAGTTGGCAACATTTCTAACTCCAACATCAAGAATAATATGGATTTGGTTGATAAACTCAATAACTTACACATTAATTATGATTTTAAACTGGTCAGTTTTGATGTAACATCACTCTTTACAAAGGTCCCAGTTGATGATTTTCTAGAGTTCCTCATAGATTCCCTGGATGATATTTCACTGCCCGTCTCGAAAGACGACTTCATCGAACTCATCAAACTATGTATTAAGGATTGCAAATTGAATTCAATGGAGAATATTATGCTCAAAAATTTGGTATGGCAATGGGTAATCCACTCTCACCTGTATTAAGCAACCTATATATGGAATTCTTTGAAAAGAAACTATTAAGTAATATTTTACCACCTTCAGCAGTCTGGTTTAGATATGTTGATGATGTATTATGTCTCTGGCCATGTAATGAGGACCTAAAAGCTTTCCTGCCAACTTAACAACTTAGCCCCCTGATCAAATTCACTGTGGAATTAGAGCAAGACTGTAAATTGCCATTCCTAGACTGTCTGATACACAGAATAGGTAACACTTTTAAGTTCAGTATTTATAGAAAACCAACTAATGTGTGTTCATACATTCATTATTATTCTGCCCACCATAATAAAGTCAAACAGTCAGTATTTTCAACAATGTTTTTACGTGCCTTGAGAATTTGCAGTCCGGAATTCATTGATGAGGAATACAAATATATATATATAATATTGGCTCAAACCTTAAATACCCTAGATCTTTCATAGACAAATGCCTAAACATTACTAAGAAAACTTTTTATAGAACTGATCCCAAGCCCACCCATGACCATAAGAATATCTTAATATTACCATTTCACTAAAAATTTCACACATTCCTTCACAACTAAAACCTGAACGTCAATGTGACATTTAAAAACTCATGCACTGTTAAACAAATGTTAATCAAGAACTCCCCAACAACACAATTGGTTGCATTTATAAAGTTCCTTGCAAGGAATGTAATATGTTTTACTTAGGCCAGACAGGTAAAGATCTTGCAACTAGAATTAAACAACACAAATACAGTGTTAGATTAGCCAGAATCCAATGCTCTGTTTGTTCATTTGAGGGATAACAAGCATTGCATTGACTGATAATGCCTCAATATTACCATGTAATTCAATTGATAGTAGGAACATCATAGAATCTAGTTTATTAAACATACCGAATCATTCAACATGAATTTGAGTAACGGCATGTACAAGCTAGACAATTTTGTAATTAAGAAGATTTGTAACCAGGTGAGAAGGTCAGTACCTGACCATCTGACCTGACCACCAACCGTTGTGTGCTATTTAAAGATTAGTAGGGTCATTACCTAATACCTGACCATTGTGGACCTGGTCTCACCCTCCTCTGTATATATACACCTTGGTTTGTATTTCTCTTTAGTCTGTACTCACCCTGAAGATGTGAATTACACGAAAGCGTTTGGGAACTTCGTGTTTTCTTCCTTTCCTTGTGGTTATCAGTATACCTAGATCACGCACCTACAGTGATTTATTGCATATATATATATATATATATATATATATATATTATATATATATATATATATATATATATATATATATATATATATATATATATATATAATGCATACGTTGTAGGATAACTAAATACAGTTTTAAATATAATAGCTTGTTGTATTGGATCACATAGAGATTAGCCCTCACCCACCAGCTTATTTCATCTGATAAGTAAACATCTTAACCCTAACCTAACCTAACATACATAACCTACCTAATCAAAACTAACCTAACCCTTGAGGTAGCATTAAGGTAATTAAACATCAGGTAAAATAAGTTAGAGGGGTTAATCTGCGTCTGAACTGTTTTACCTATGCAAGTAGACCTTTTCTTCTGTGTAAGTTGTTTTAATGTCTATCTCGATTTACTTTTCGGTTTATGTAAATATATACTATATATATATGTTCCTTACCTCATATGTAACCTATAAAAGGGATTCATTCAGATTGAAAAAAAATACATTTACATCAAATCTACAAGGGAGTTTTTTTTCCGCCAGGCGAATCACCAACTCAGGCCTGGAGATGATTCCCAATATGAAGTTCATCGGACACGCGGAAATAATCAAGATGATGTAAGTATCAGTAAAGTAGCAACTGCCAGGCTCCTTTCTCCTATGGTAATTTGTGTGGTGAAAGTTTTTCCAGTAAGTTTTGCCCGGTGGAAATTTTTTCGGCGAGAGTTTTGACCAATGAAATATTTTTTCAATAAGGATCATACTATATTAGTATACTTTTGTTTATATAAAGAACTTTCTCGTCCTCACACAGAGAGCTGGACAGTAATCGCATCAAAAAGGTTCACACCAATTCTCTGGAGGTCCGGGTAGACCAGCTGTAAGTACACTGAGCAGCTATCAATTTAAAATTTGAAATTTTAGCCAGAAGTATATCACAAGTACATATTTATTGATATATATTGATAATGATATTGAAACAGTTTAGTTAGTCAGAAAAACACATATAGAACATATACAAATAATTCCCTTGAGGTACAGTGTGAATATATATTACAAGTACGGTAATTCCTAAGTGGTACAAATTTAGTAATATAAAAACAGGTACATTAATTTTTATGTAGAACAGATTTAGGTAAAAAGTACAGATAAAGATTTTGATGCAATGTAATAGTAATCTGGTGTGATATAGATAGTACAGTATTATAGGTAATGTAATGTCACTTATACCATCCAACTATACCTAACCTGTCTCTCATTCCAGTTCACTGAATTATAACCTGATCGAGAGTGTTGAGAGGGAGGCATTTGCTGGGTCAAAAATTGGAAAACTGTGAGTAGAAACATCACATGTCTTGGCTCTCTCTCTCTCTCTCTCTCTCTCTCCATGCATACATATATATATAGATAAATAGTCCTAAGTATACTTATACATAGAGAGGGAAAATAAATAAATATACATGTATTAAAAAGATATAGAAGGAGAGAGAAGTAATGTAGGCCCAAGGTGGGTGGACACGTGGCGGGCGAGCACGGGCGGGTGGGCTTGGGGCGGGTGGGCTTGGGGTGGGGTGAGCACGGGGCAGGTGAGTATGGGCCGGTAGTAGTGCAGGGCGAGTGAGCACGGGTGGGTATCAATACGGGGCGGGTGAGCACGGGGCAAGGAGAAGTACGGGCGGGTGAGTACGGAGCGGTAGCAGTTCGGGGCGGGGAGCATCACGAGGCCAGTGAGCACGGGGCGGGTGAGCATGGGGCCGGTAGCAGTACAGGGGCGGTGAGCACGAGGCGATGGAGTGCGGGCGGATGAATACATGATAGGTGTAAACGGGGGCGAGCACGGGCGGGTGAGCATGAGGCGGGTGAGCATGTGGCGGGTGAGCAGGGGGTGGCTGAGCACGGGATGGTTATGCATGAGGCTTGTGACCGTGAGAAGGGTGAGCATGAGGCAGGTGAGCACAGGTGGGTGAGCATGGGGTGGTGGTCATGGGGCGGGTCAGTCTGGGATGCTGAGTGAGCATGTCTCGTCAGCCGGAAGAAGAGGACGCCGCTGGCTCAAGCTCCTGCCTCACTGGTCTTGAGTGACGGTCGACTGAGCTGTTGGAGGATAAAGGGGTACTAGGTGGGCTAAAGGGGGTATCAAAGGGGTTAAGTGGGTACCAACCTGTGGTGTAATGGTCAGCATACTCGCCTCGCAAGCGAGCGGACCCGGGTTCGATTTCGGACGGGATGAAACTATGGGCAAGTTTATTTACGACATTTGCCTGTGTCTACCCAGCAGTATTGTGAATCTGGATGTTAATCGATTTGCGGATCATGTTCCGAGGTAATGATTAGCCAGTGCAGTTGGAGAGTTCTCTGGTCTTCTCGGACTATTCTTTGACACTGGGTCATGCAACTCGTTAACTCAGAGTGTGGTTGTTGTGTTGGCGACAGCTTGTACACCTTAAACAAATTCACACCTCGGTTGCCGTTGGGTCAGCCATCCTCGTTACACGAGGAGGGAGAAAGGGGGCACCAGGAAAGCTAAGGGGAAATCATGAGGGGTTAAGGGGGGTACCAGGGGGGGGGGGCTAAGAGGCACTAGGCCTAGATCAGATAGTCCGATTTAATTAACAAAGAAAAAAAAGAAATAGAGAATCGTTGTTGGTGAATTTGCTTGAGCTTGTAAACTCTCGAGGCTGAGTAGAATAAAATTCCCTTAAGTTATCTTAGAAGGAGAAACTGTCATAATAATAATAAAAAAGAATAAAGTGAAATATCTGTATAAGCATCATAATGTACTGTTATTGTTTACATTTCGAGTGTGTAATATTCACACGTCTGTGTTTTTAGGATGGAAGATTATTACGTTTTGCTTTTCATTGAGTGTATAAGGGTGAATAAGTAATGAATTATTGTACACTGAAATCATCATAAAAACAGATTTGTATAAATTTTTGTCCTGCAGTTTATTCGATTTCTGAAGTATTACATAACTGTACACAGATGGAATCTTTATATTATCAGCCATAAAATTCTTGCCGAAATATAAAGAAAAACATATAAGTTCGTTCCAAAATGTGACATGTTTGACGAGGGGGTAATCCTATTATCACGGACATACAGCTCAGTAATCATTTTAATATGATAAACCTCGTTGACAGCTTTCATAATTTACATAATATATTAACATAAATTTCAATAACTTAAGCAAGAAATATATTATATAATATGTGATCTTAGAATGTCAATCAAATTGTTATTACAGAATCAATAAGTCATTCCAATACACGCTAAGATACCCAACCAGACACCTTCATGTTCAATGGCTCAGTGACAACTACATTAAGCTCAGTAATTAAGCTGGACCTGACTTAAAACTGAGTCGAAACTTTGTTAAGCTTGACCTTGGAGATGTCTTGACCCAGAAAGCAACGTAACCATTAGTAAAGAAAGCCATATCTTCTCCTGCCAGATACATCCACTCGGCTCCATTGCTTACGACGAAGTCAATCCATGCCACTCAAGGGCCAGATGCAATATTACGACTCAGTAGTGGCTTTGTAGTGATGATAATTACTTAACGCTCCAACAGATATATTTCTCTCGATATTTTAATTTTTAATGAGAATTGTATGTACTAACCTAACATATCTAATCTAACCTAATTATACCTAGCCTAACCAAAACCTAACCTATCCTAATTTAACCTAGCTTAATGAAATCTTAACCCAACCTAATTTAACGTAGCCTGACCAGGACCGTGCCTAGCCTAACACTAACCAATCTAACATAATTTAATTTAACGTACAATGCCTTCGCCTTTCCTTGCTTTTTGGGGTGGGGAGGGGTGGGGGTTCCAAAGAGATGACTGCCCATTAGGGACAGTGTGGATACAGCACACTATATACTAAGCCTTCGGTACACAAGGGGGCAGCATGGCCAGTACTACACTCGACCGCTTTCACTTCCCCAAGTTGTAAACTTAGGTACCCGTTTACAGCTGGGTGAAACTGAGTGCCCAGTAATCGAACCACCAAGCCTCTTAACAGGAGCCGATCGCTGTATCCACTCGACCGCCACGCTCCTTTCTTAACTTAATTTGACTAAAAATGCTTTAACCTAACCTAACTTAACCTTACCTGGTCCAAGAAGATGGTGAATGAATTGTGCATTTTAGAAAACACGCATAAAATGTTCGAGAAGAAAGTCTTTTAAGAGCAGAATAAAAATAGATATAGGGCTACTTGAAAAAAATCCAAGATGGCCACCATTTTATCAGAAGTTCCCTGAAGTATTCTGTATAAACTGTAGATTGTGTGTTAAATGAATGAAACACTTACATTTAAAGCCAGACGTGAGTTGGCTGTTTTAACTTTCGTGTAGTCTTTACGTGAAGGAAATTTCCAGCTGTACAAGGATGCTTTAACAAAAATCGTTCCATGGTGTTTTGGTTTTAGTTTGTCCACACTTTTCTCGTTCGCTACCAGTTCATTTGGCCCAGGAGTTCGTAGTACATAAATCGCGAAGAGCATTTTCTGGAATTCCAATTGATCATGCTGGCTGAAAACTGTTCGGAATTACTTCGATGGATGGTTTCTGGACGAGAAATAGCAATGATGATTGGTGAGTCTGAGGCTCCACAGGAAACTCATCACTCAAAGACACTGAGTATACTCAACACCACGAACAGGGTAAAATTATTCAGAGCACATTTGAGAAACAGGTAACAGCACTGCATACTATAATTGACAAATGGGAAATTCATTTATGGAATAAATCCAGGTTCTGTTGGTGTTAGGCACACAAGATATTGCTGACCAGAAAGTGATAGATACCATACAGAAAATAGAGCAGGTTGGAAAATTGAATTTCGTATGTCTTGTGGAAGATCGAATCATTAAGAGAACTAAATCCCTCTTTGATCCAATTTGCAAGAACCGATTACCACTCTTCAACTGCCCACCCCAAGAATTGTGTCAAAGGATAAGCAAAAGATCGACTCGCCCAAGAAAAACGGTGCCCTCTTCTCACAGATTTATTTATGTATCTTGCCAGATTCGGGATGGTAGTCGTGAAGAGTTTTTCTGTCATGAGAACCAGTCGTTACCACTATCAGTGTCGCAATTTGGAGAGTTACGACCAGGAAAAAAATCTGATCCTGTGCAATTCATGGAAAACTTGGTGGCAAACCCTCAGATACCACATGATATCAAAGTTCTGCTTCTCGATAGAGCTGTTGCTGTGAACTTTTTAAAAACCAGGTGTTTGCAAAACTTTTCTTGAATATGGAAAACATGTCTTTATGAAATACTGTACTTGATGTCACAGCTGTAGAATGTGAGCAAGAGACTTGATATCATCTGGGATGGATATATCCCTGATAGCTTGGAAGAATGTGCCATTGTGCCAGGAGAAAACGAGGGAGGGGTGTCCGAAGGCGAGTTCATCCAGAAAATAGGATTCCCGGAATGCATTTCTCAGGGAGGATGAAAACAAAGAAGAGTTTTATCACTTTCTAGCAGGTCTGTCCAAGACATTACGCTGTGGAGACAAGCAAGTAGTCCCAACGCAGGGAAATATTATTTTTTGCAGCCCAGATATGGATTCCAGCAATTTGTCTCCATGTTCACATGAAGAAGCAGATAGCAGTCTTCTCCTTCATGCAGCTGAATGTGCAAAACTCGGCTGTTGTGGACACAGATATGATCGTCATAGCTGTTTCCATGTTTTAACATCTGGGCATCAGCGAGCTTTGGGTTTCGTTTGGAATTTGCAAGAATTTCAAATATGTACTAGTCCTGTACCTGTCTTATGAAATAATTGAACCTGCAAGAGCAAGATCATTTACTGCATATCATGCCTCTACGGAATGTGATCAGGCATCATTTTCTGCAGACAGGGGCAAACACATTGCATGGACGACATGGAAAGCTTATAATGAGGTCACTACAGCATTTTTGGCATTGAGCTTTAAGCCAACTAAAGACCAAGTTGAAGAGATTATGTTTGCTAAAGAGCGCTTTGTTGTTCTAATGTAAAACAGAACGAGAACCTGTATGACTGCCAATGAAGCACCGAAGGACCTGTTCACCAGAAGAGGAAGAAGTATGGATGCCTGCCAACCACCAATATATGCAGCTATAGTTGAACACACTAAGAGGGCGGCATACCAAGCTGGTTATTGTTGGGGTCAGTCACTCACACTAGACCCTGCTTTACTTTCTATAGCCGATTATGGAGGGGTCAGATAGGACAAAGTGCAATGGCAGCCTCTGTGATCAGTGATAGTAGAAGTATCCAGTTATATAAGGATTTAATTATATGTGGATGTCAATCAGAAAAATGTTGCAGAAAGGCGCTCCAAATGTGTAAACGCAAACGTAGAATGTATTAACACGTGTAAATGAACTGGTGACTGTGATCGGTATTAGTTACAAAGTGGGTAGACGAGAAACATTTTGTTTGATACACTTATATGCCTACAGTTGCATTCATGAATTCATTACCTAACCTAACCTAACCTAACCTGCAACAGTGCGTACAACACATCGTAATAATAAAGCAGACATAAGAACATATGAACATAAGAATGGAGGAAACTGCAGCAGACCTATAGGCCCATACTGGGCAGTCCCATTTACACCCAACCCCTATTGCTCATATATCCATCCAACCTATGTTTGAAGCTATCCAGCGTATTCGAGTTAATGATGGATGATATTTGGTAACTTGTTCCAGTCGTCCACTACTCTATTTCCAAACCAATGTTTACCTATTTCGCACAGAATCTAAATTTGTCTAATTTAAAACCATTGTTACGAGTTCGCTCCTGGTTGGATAGTTTGAGTACCTTTGTAATGTCCCCTTTGTTCAGCCCTGACTTCCATTTATACACCTCGATCATGTCGCCCCTCACTCTACGTCTCTCGAGGGAGTGCAAATTAAGATGCTTTAACCTGTCTCTGTACTCAAGGTTCCTAATGCCCGGGATTAGTCTTGTCATTCTCCATTATGTAATACCGTGACCAGAATTGAACTGCCTAATCAAAGTGAGGTCTCACAAGAAAAAGATATAGTTTTAAGATGACCTCGCTAGTCTTGTAACTAACACTCCTTTGTATGAACCCAAGTACTTTATTAGCTTTGTTTCGAGCAAATACACTTTGTTTACTTGGCTTAAGATTCCTACTTATCATTACTCCTAAATCTCTCTCGCAGTCGGATTTCTCAATAACATCGTTGTTCATCTGGTATCTGGTTTCCCTGTTTACATCTCCTATACTGAGTACTTTACATTTGTCCATTTGAATTTCATGCCATTTTCAGACCATTCGAAAAATTTGTTTAGATCTTCCTGTAGTTTTGCGGAGTCCTCGTCAGATTTAATAACACGTCCTATTTTAGTGTCATCAGCAAATTTACTTATGTTGCTGTCTATGCCGATATCTATGTCGTTTATGTATATAATAAATAATAATGGTCCAAGTACTGAGCCTTGCGGAACTCCACTAGTGACGTTGCTCCATTGGGATTTAGTGCCGTTAATGCTCACTCGCTGTTTTCTGTCCTGTAACCACGCCCTAATCCATTTTAGAATATCACCTTTAATGCCATGAGCCTCCACTTTTCTTATTAGTCTTTCGTGGTGGACTCTGTCGAAGGCTTTGCTAAAGTCGAGATGTACCACATCATAATTGTGCCCCTCGTCCACTGATTCGAAAACTGATGAAAGGAATGTTAATAGATTAGTTAGACATGAACGCCCACTTGTGAAGCCATGTTGGGAATCATTGATCAACTTGTGTAAATAATGCATCCAGTATAAAATTGTCCAAGATTTAAGATGCACATAAAAAATTTATTAAACACGAATACACACACACACACACACACACACACACACACACACACACACACACACACACACACACACACACACACGCACTTGACAGCCGTGAAATTACAACAATCAACATTACGTCAACTCATAACCACAAAACAACAACCTATCTGGGTTTTTTATCCAAGCCTCGTACTGTGTCGCCATAAGCTAGTGTCTTTCCCCTCGTCTGACACTAATGAAGAAATTTTTTCTCTCTCTGTCCAGTGACTTTTTCCTTATTTCGGTGGTAATTGACCCACTTAGCCAACACTAGCCATTATGGAGGTGAAGGCCCAGGACTTGAGTGATATAAATATGTCTTTCTCTTGTTGGAAGTTTCTATGTCTCCTGTTAAGTTTCTCTGTCTGCCTGTTTGTCTGTCTCTCACTATATATGATTTTTTGTTTCTATCTTTCTATATTTCCCTTAATGCCGATCTCTCTCTTTTTATATTATTTTTGTTGTCTATTCCCGTCATTTTTCTCCTTTCCTTTTTCCTCTGTCTCTCCGCGTCTCTCCCCCTCTATTCTTCTCTTAACATTTATCTACTTCTGTCACTCTCTATCTTCCATCGCTGAGAATATTTTCTTCTGTATCTGTCTTATTTCTTCTCTCTCGTCTGTCATTCTCTCTCATTTTCTCTCACATTCTTATTCCTTTTTTTTCTGTCTCTACCGTATTCTCATAATGTTTATTTATCTCTCGCTTTTTCTCACCCATAATATCTCTTTCTCTCATTCTTTTTATTCCTTATTTCTTTATTTGTTTTCCTTACTCTCACTAATTTCATCTTCTCTTTCTCTCTCTCATTCTTTCTCACCTTCGGTCTGTCATTCTCGTCGCTCAATGTCTCTCTCTCTCTCTCTCTCTCTCTCTCTCCACACATACCCGCTAAGGTAATATTGTTTATATCTTCCCTACAGCAGCCTTAAGGGGAATATACATCTTGAAAATCTTCATCCACACGCTTTTGAGAACATCGGCAGTCTTCTATCACTGTAAGTACGGTTTGTGTGTGTGTAATAATAATAATAATAATAATAATAATAATAATAATAATTAACGGTTTATTGAAAAAATTCTGCAGCCCGAAGGCTGAAAATATACATTGGACATAAATGACTTATTACATACATTGGTGGTTTAACAAAAGCCTTCATTAGAGAAAGGTAAAGGAACATACAGTGAATATACAGATTAATGTAGGTGTTGAACAGCAAACTCATTGTGCTCCTCCCAGATGGTGTTAGGAGGAACTCACGTGGTGTGTAGTTTCCCTCAGATGGTGTTATGAGGGACCTGGCGTGGTGTAGTAATTCCCTCGCCAGATGGTGTTATGAGGGCGTCACGTGGTGTAGTAATTCCCTACAGATGGTGTTATGAGGGACCTCACGTGGTGTATGTTACCTCACAGATGGTGTTATGAGGGACCTCACGTGGTGTAGTAATTACTTCACAGATGGTGTTATGAGGGGCCTCACGTGGTGTAGTAACTCCTCACAGATGGTGTTATGAGGGGCATCACGTGGTGTAGTAATTCCCTCACAGATGGTGTTATGAGGGGCCTCACGTGGTTTAGTAATTCCCTCACAGATGGTGTTCTGAGGGACCTCACGTGGTGTAGTAATTCCTTCACAGATGGTGTTATGAGGGACATGTGGTGTAGTAATTCCCTCACAGATGGTGTTATATGAGTGAGGTGTGGTCTTAGGCCTTTCTATCGTAGACGGATTAACACATCGCTGGTTGTTGTTGGGTCTCACGGGCCGTTATCACTGGGTACCTGGGACCTCACTGTGTGAAGGTTAACTTGGTACGACTGTTACTGTTGAGTTGTTCTCACTGACTTAAGCACTGTTCACCACTGTTCACCTCTGTTTAACACTGGTTCTTTTCCTTTCCTAAATGAAATTGTAACTTCTGCGAACTTGTTGATATTCCGGTGGGGAGGAGGGTTCAGGGGAGGGGGTTGGTATGGGCCAACTTAACAGTTGACCTGGCTGCTCCCAGAGGAGCTCCAGGTAAGTCTTGATCCTTCAGTGGTCAAGGATGTGTTTGTGTGTGTGTGTGTGTGTGTGTGTGTGTGTGTGTGTGTAAATATGGGTTGGATGAGGTTGTATGTGTAACAGGGGTATAATGTAGTGAATATCTAGATGGAGTGATAGATGAATGGATGAATTGATCAATAGATGGATAAATAGATGGATGTATGGATAGATGGTTAGATAGATAGATAGATAGATAGATAGATAGATAGTTAGAGTGATAGATAGATATATAGAGATAGATAATATGGATGGATGGATGGATTAACAGACGGAGTGGAGGGGGCGATAAATTGATAGATAGATAGATAGATAGAGAGATAGATAGATAGATAACAATGAACTAGTTACTACGATAAGTTACTAAATTATGTTAAGACAATTTATAAAGAAAAGTTACAGATAACTTACTATAGTCGTTTTTTTAGCTCATTGGTTCATACATTGAAAAAAAAAGAACGTTTGAAATTAAAAATATTTACGGTCGAAGTAACAAACAAATTCACTCTTTCGGAGAACTTATTCCCCACTTCTTCACTTCTCATTAATTATTATGTATATCAAGACAAATGACACCAAACATATAAAGCAGCGGATAATAAGGACCAATATTAATCAATATTAATCGGACTTTAAATATAAGCCAATGAGCTTCACGGAGCTGCAATGGGGCGGGGCTTGTACCGCCAGCTAAAAAAACGATTGAGAACTTATTTATATAATAACTAAGAGAAATTTACCCCTGAAGGATTAAAAAAATGTATATCGAATTCCTGGACAAGTGTTCCTAATACGGTATCAAATTCTTGACAAATTTTCCATAAGGTATTGCTTTTAATATATCTTATCTCAGTTGTGGAGGCTTTCTGTATCTTACTGTGCGCATAATAAGTTTAGGCATTGCGTGAAATCCTTTGTTACACATTACATATATATATATATATATATATATATATATATATATATATATATATATATATATATATATACACTAACAAATCGTCCTCTCCGGCTCCTCATCAGCTAGGCAACGGTAGGATGGCCACCCTCCGGGGCTCCACATTATCTCCTGTTCATTCCCCAAAACTTCTTCCATCAATAGTTCATTAACGGTGTATGTAAGTTCCTGTTTTTTCACTACAACGGTACAAAGTATATTTTTTAGCATTAAACTGTTATTATTTTATTGTCTAATCATCACTACATATAACACCACCCATCATCACTACATATAACATCATCCATCATCACTACATATAACACCATCCATCATCACTATCGCTACATATAACACCATCCATCATCACTACATATAACACCATTCATCATCACTACTGATCGGTAAAGTAGTTTCCGAGATTCTCGTGAGGACACACAGACACACACACACACACAAACAGACAGACTTCTTTGTTTTATACAGATAGATTGTCTAATAATCACTACATATAACACCACCCATCATCACTACATATAACATCATCCAACATCACTACATATAACATCATCCATCATCACTACATATAACACCATCCATCATCACTACATATGTCATCATCCATCATCACTACATATAACACCATCCATCATCACTACATATAACAACATCCATTATCACTACATATATCACCACCCATCATCACTGCATATAACAACATTCATCATCACTATATATAACATCATCCATCATCACTACATATAACAACATTCATTATCACTATATATAACATCATCCATCATCACTACATATAACACCACCCATCATCACTACATATAACAACATTCATCATCACTATATAGACATCATCCATCATCACTACATATAACACCACCCATCATCACTACATATAACACCATCCATCATCACTGCATATAACACCATCCATCATCACTACACATAACAACATCCATCATCACTACATATAACATCATCCATCATCACTACATATAACAACATCCATCTCTGTCTCTCTATATACCTTTTCTATTTTTGCATCAATTTATGTTTAGTTACGTGCTCGTATATCTTACTCCTCTTTATCTTTCTTTTCTATGTTTGTCTCTGTCTATCATTCCATCAGTCTATATCTCCTTCTGCCTCCATCGCTCCTTATCTCTCTCTCTCTTATCCCTCTTATCTCTTACTCTCCCTCTGTGTCATCTACCTCGCTCGGGAAGAGGTTTACGATCATTGCCTTACACTCCAGACAATTCCAGGGGTAACGTGGGCACTTTCAGGTAGCCGAACGTCTCTGCCACTCTTCCGGCTTTCTTCTGCCTATGGTCCATCTTCCATCCTTCCACTCTGCCACTTTGCCATGCTATCAATTTACAACTCTGACTTCATTCATAATGATACCATGTAATTTTAATATCAATCAGTTATCCTGCCATCAGTCACCACCAGCCACTTTCTCACCTTACCACCTTAGTACCCTGCCATCAAGCACCACTAGCCACCTTCTCACCCTGCCACCAGTCGTCACCCTATCACCCTTCCACCTTAGCACTCTGCTACCAGTCACTACCCTGCCACTAGTCACCACCAGCGACCTCCCTACCCTACCACCAGTCACCACTAGCCACCATCCATCCTACCACCAGTCACCACCAGCAACCTCCCACCCTACCACTCCAATATCCTGCCAACTACTATCACCAACCAACACGCCCCACCATAGTTTTGGCCACGGTCCTGAGCACACTCTGCAGCAACGTCTACGGCCATTACCTTTGGTTGTACCCTTGGCTGCACCACCACCACACACGCTCATGAACACACATTTAACATCAACCTTAATCACACACGCCCACGGACACGCCCTTAGTAGCAACCTTAATCACACACGCACACGTACACGCCCCTGTCAGAAACATTACTCACTCACGCCCACGGACACGCCCTTAGTAGCAACCTTAATCACACACACACGTCCACGTACACACCCTTGTCAGCAACATTATTCCTACACGTCCACGGGCACGCCCTTGGTAGCAACCTTATTCACACACGCACACGTACACGCCCTTGTCAGAAACATTAATCACTCACGCCCACGGACGCGCCCTTAGTAGCAACCTTAATCACACACACACACCCTTGTCAGCAACATTAATCCTACACGTCCACGGGCACGCCCTTTGTAGCAACCTTATTTACACACGCCCACGCACACGCCCTTGTCAGCAATATTAATCATACACGTCCACGCACACGCCCTTGTCAGCAATATTAATCATACACGTCCACGGACACGCCCTTAGCAGCAACTTTAATCACACACACCCACGGACACGCCCCAAAACACACACCGTGGATAGTTTAGGAGGCCCTGCACAGTGTATTAGTATGCAGGTCGGGGCAGAGCTGGATTCTGGCCTGCCAACCTTCCTCCCGTGGCCGCGTGAGTCACTGTTTGCCAGCAGCTGATGATGTCAGTTTGTGACCAATGTATATATTTTTCTCTTTCTTACATTTCTCTGCTGTTTTTTTTTTCACTTTCTCCCTCTTTCTTGTTTGCACTGTTTCTATCTCCCTTTCCAGTTTTTCTTTCTCTCGCTCTGCCTCCATCTACCTATCTACCTCTACTCTATTTATTTACATATCAGCCTCTCTCTCTCTCTCTCTCGTGGCCTCTTTTTCTTTCTATCTTGCTGTCTCTTTTCATCTATCTATCTATCTATTATTCTAGCTCAACTATATCTTTCTATTTACATATCTGTCTGTTTGTCCACTTTATTTATCTATCTTCCTATTTGTCTATCTCGTTCTTCTTTTTCTGGTGTTTCAGGAGGCAGACGAGGACACTCTCTCAAAAAGCAATATTGAAAATGGCCTCTGAACCACACTCATGAAAATGGCACGTTTGTGTCCGATATCCAAACACTTGTCGACCGCTGTTACATTTACGCACGCGCGCTCGCGCACGTGTGTGTGTGTATGTGTAATAATA